CACCCTTTGTCCAACATAGGTATTATCTTCGACACATTGCTACGAGCTACCATGGAATGTACAAGAAGAATGATGAGCGTCAATTAATTGTGCGCATGGGTAAGTGAAACTGATGTAGTTGGTTTTCTTTCGATCATTTTAATTTTGCAAAGAAAGCAAGTTAGTAAGTTATACATTTTTTTATCAGGTTACGAACTATTTCCTCAAACGTTTGAATCAATGCTTCAAGATTTGCGGGCAAAAACGAGGAAGAATATGATTACATCAACCTCATCGATAAAGAAATGTGGACGAACACATATGATGGTGGATATCGATATGGACACATGACAACCAACTTGGTTGAGGCAATCAATTCAACCTTAAAGGGTGCGCATCACTTACCTATAGCGGCTTTGGTAAAAACTATATATTTTTTCGTTTGGGGGTGCTTTTTGCGAAGCTCGAGGGATTACATATGGCTACGGTATGTAAGTCGTTGTAGGTGGTGGCTGCTGTGAAGGTCTTGCTGGTGCAGATGAGGATGAACCGGAAGCACCTGCTCTCCGTCCACGAGTCGGGGGACGATGGTTCTGTGTCGGTGAACGTCTCTGTCGACGTCGCTGAAAGGTCCGCCCTCGTGCATCCTCGGAAAGCAGAAATGGTTTCTCGTTACTGTTGAACCACTCATAATAACCATCAGCAACCATCAAGAGATCATCAAAAATGGGCTCTCTACGGGAAATGTGCCAATGTCGATCATTCCACAACACGACCCACTCATGATGTCTCACCAGCCAATCTGTATCGGTCTTGTCGCGTCTATCTGTGCTATACAACTCGTCCATATTGCGAGGTGCTTCCAGAATTGGTTGAAAACAACCAAATTGCCGGAGCACGCGATCAGTGGAGTGCCACTCGACGATCACATAATAGATTAAATGGACCATCGCTATCCAAACATCTGATGGGCCCCTCAACTCAGGTGGGATCACTATCCTCACATCATCATTATAATATGGCACCCATTCAAACTAAAACAAATATATATAATTTTTTATCAAAATAATAATCTAATTATATATCAAAATAATAATCTAATTATATAACTATAATTTAAAATCGATTTTTAAACATTAAAATGCATACCTGTGTGTCAGCCTTCTGATCGATTAGCACCCTATTTTTTTCTAAATCATTAGGTAGCTCCTGGTGATTTTTCCTATCAGTAGACCACCTATTCAAGGAAAAAAATTTATTATACACTGTATAAAATGATTAATATACGAAATCAGTTTTATAATTACCTCAATAGTAGCAGAAATACGAATGCGTTATTGACAACGGACATAAAAAGGGTAATCGATACCATGCCCAAGATTGCAGCAGCAAGAGACATCCGCCGATAGCATTTTTCCTGTAGTCAGTGGCTCGACACATCTCCATGTACAGGAAATCCAAAACTGTCGAGCCCAACTGAGTGATCCGGCCAGATGAAAGTCGCCAAGATGTTGCAACCACATATAGTGAACTTGGTTGCGCGATTTGTCCGGCATCAGTAACCCTACTGTTAGCTGCAGTATGTATGCCCGTGCATACATTTTAACTTCATCATCAGAGGTGTCCTCGCTCAACTCCCGAAAATTGGCATATAACCAATTTAACGGTATCCGATCACCGTTAAAACTTTCCGGGACACATCCTAGATACTACCGGCACAAAGCAGTCCATGAAACGTGCACCATCCCCGATATCACATTTTCATCCACCGGAAGCCCCAGGTGCATAGAAACATCCTCAAGTGTAATCGTGCACTCTCCGCATAGAAGATGGAATGTGTGGGTCTCCGGCCTCCACCACTCCACTAAGGCAGCAATAAGGTCTGGTTCTATCTTACAATGACCCTCATATCTACCTATGTGACCGAATCCAGCCTCTACTAAATACGATAAGACACGGCTAGGTATCACTAACTCAAGGTTCCTAATAAAAGGATCTAATACACGGTCCCTCTCCTAAAATTAAATAATTACAAAAAATAATTTTTAAACTAATAATCATGCATTAAATAAATAAATAAATTATTACTAATAATTTAAATTAAATTAAAACGTTAAAATGTTACCGTATTAGCAAAATGTCACGATATATGATTTCCATCCAAATGAAGTAGACCGCCTTCTATTTTATATCTGCAAAAAATATTAATTAAATAAATATTAAATAAATTAAATACTTAAATAAATTAAAAACAAAATATTAAATATAATAAAATATACCTTAACCAGTTATAAGAGTATTTGAGAGAAGTTGAGATGATTTGATGTAACGAAAGTGATTGAGAAATGGGGATATTTATATTGAGGGGGTGGGGGTGTAAACGGTCGAGGTGGGTGGATAATTAAACCTAAGGCGCGCTGTAGGGGCGTATCTTTCTGACGCGTGTCAGATTTAAAAGTAAAACGCGGTCCCTGTCCCGCGCTATACACTTATATATGACGTTAGATCAGCGTAAAGCGCACTGCAAGAGACTTGTGTTACTGTAAAGGGTGTTAAATTAAAAAAAATAATCTTAAAGGTACCTGATAAGGAAATATATAAGGTATAAGTGATATTTAGAGAAAAACGCCGAATTATAGCCCCCAATCAAATACAGAAGACAATGATGGTAATTCGTCTTTCATTTGTAGTCTTACATAGAGGGGCTTCTTTTTAACTTGTGTCATCATGAAGCTACTGTTTTCAAAACCAAAAAGAATGATTCACTACACGAACACATTTCTGATGCGAAATGCTGATGGATTTTCAAGTTGTCATGGAGAAATGTACGTCAAAGTAAGTACATTTATTCTGCCTCTTTCGAACTTCTTCCTTAAATTGATTTCCTACATCATTTTCGTACATTAAAACTTTTAGAGAACTTTTCTTTTGAAAATAAAAATATGAAAGAATATCTCCCGATATAAGGACTTAAAGAGTTGTGTATTCATCGAAAAGTTACTATCTCTTACATGATCTTTTGATATTACCTTTGACATGCACCATGTGATTTGTGAAAATTAAAATCATTTAACAACTAACCATATTAATTGAATATATCAGTTTATAAATAATCATAATAATATTCTCATAATAATCTTATATTTGATATCAATACTAACTATCACTAAATACCTCAGTCAAGATTAAAAAAAAAAGTCTGGAACTATTCTCTCTACTTATTTCTCTTTTCCCTCCTTATTAAGACAAAAAATTTAAATATTGACCTATCGCGGTTCAATACTTGTTGCAGTTCTCTGTTCGTATAAAAAAGAATGAACTACCGACCAGTGACGGATGCACTAAGCCCCTATAGGGGCTAAGTGCATCTTATTATTTTAGAAAAGTGGTTTAATTTAGTTTAATGTGTTAAGGAAAAAAAATTACAATTTTTGCATACCTATTATTTTTAAGAAAATAAAATTAAAATTTTAAATCCCCATTCTTAAATTTTTGGATCCGTCACTGCTACCGACGTGCGATCTTGTTCCTATCAACTACCGACGTGCGATCTTGTTCCTATCAACTACCGACATGCTGCTGGTTGCAAACTCTAGTTCAGATGCTATGTTGGTGGCAATATATCTTACTCTATATCTTACTCTGATACTTTGACGTGAGTTTCAGATACGAATATATATCCGACACAAGAATGTTCAAAGATTATCCTAAGATTTTATCTGATTTTGAATGGCACTTGAAGTGTTATTTTCCTCTACCCCGTATACTTGAAAGAAAAATGAAGAATCAAATCAGCATGTCCCCTAATCATCTTTGTAAGGCATATAAAAGAGAAAAAGTACAGAAAGCACACTTCAGATAGTATCCCATTCAAGAAAATTACATAAGTTAAGTCCATGATTTGAGTTTTGATTACCAAAACCTCTTCACACTATTAAGTGTTGGGTCATATTTATTCTTGACTCTTTTTTTTTTAATTGCTTTTTCCTCATTGACTTGACCTTTTGCTGACTGTTTCAGCTTTCTTTCCTTTATATATTTGTCAAGCTCTCCCATCCATCCACACTCCATTTCCCATCTGAGTTTATCTGCAACTTCATAACTATTACCCTTTTCTCTCAAAGTTCAGCTGATTGCAGAACATGGAAACTCAAGGGACCAACAAAGTCAGTCAGAAAAAGGGAACCAACAAGCCAAATGCCTCAGTTATGCAAAAATCTAATAGTACCATCGCTGCAGCGGAGCTTTTTCCGGTAAGGTTTCTCAAGCATCTTGGTGGCAAAGCAGCAAAAGGTTTACATGTGTTGTCCATGAGAATTAGGCCTTCCCCTAAGGTTTCTTCTTCCTCTTCTTCACTAGGAAGATCGAAACCGATTGTAACCCCTTCTGATTCTCATAGAAATGCTGCCATCGAAGACTGCATCGATTTCATCAACTCTTCTGCTTCTTTGCCTAGATCAAACTCTGTTTCTGCTATATAATTCTCATTGAACATATCAAACAATATTTGGCCATAAAACATTGTTTGATGAAAATATTAAGCATCCTATTCCTAGCAGCCTATGTGTACTTTATTATCATTTCCTTTTTAGATAATGGAAGTAAAGGCTTGTTTCGTTTACCTATGCAAGACCAAGGAGTATGGATATATTATTATCCTTTCGGTTTGGTTTCTCCTACCCTGTAAATTCTGTTTCTAGTTTCCTCTATAATCAAATCTCAATGGAAAAAATAATTACATCAGAAAGAGAACGAAACATTATTTGTTCTTTACCTAATCTTGTCCGCCTGTTTGGAGTATCTTGTCTTGCTGTTTCATTTTTCTTTTCTCTAACATCATTTGCACAATGTTAAATTTGTTACCAGGCATGGATTTATTGTCTTCAGGTTTTGTTGTCATATTCATGTAATCATATAGTAAACAGTAAATCAAACATTCCAGTAAAATCACAAAATTCAGTAGCCACAAACAAGTAACTGATAAATGAATTAGTAATTTATAAAGACTTAAGCAGTGTACATTGAAGGAGATTAATAATAATAGCTTAGTGTTCAAGAATGAAGAAAGGATTTATGATATTGAAGATACAAAATATGAATTGATTCCAAACCAAGATGCATGATTGAGATATATATTATAGTAGTATCTTTTCATTTCTTAAAAGACCTCCAAGTCTAAAGCCACCACCATTGCCATTGCCATTGTCCTTCTTCTTCTGAGGGATTGAAACAGAGTTCTTGCGACCACTGGTGGTGCCACCACCACCGGCATTCTTGTCTTCAACTTTCTTGAGGAGAGGGTCAGTTTCGTAAAACTGGTCTTCCTTGATCAAGTTACCAAGAATCCAATCCAGAAGCCCTTTCTCTTCTTTGCTTCCACCTGCACCTTTTGCAGCTGTTGCATAAACCCTTGTTGTTGAAGGAACAAAGGAAAGTATGGGCAGAGAAGCCATTCTTTGTTGTTGCCTAGCTTAGTTTTCTTCCTTGTGTTCAAATGATTGCTGATGATGCGCAATGTAGAAATATACATTTATGGGGATAGTGTTTGCAGTGAATTTTGGACCGTTGGATTGGGATTTTAAGATATGATGAGTGGGAAAATAACGTGGGGGGTGTTTGTACCACGAGCTATCCGCAAGTGTCTTATCTTCATTTCTGAATTTTCAAATGTTTTATATTTATTATTATTTTCTTGTAGGAAAAATAGGGGTGAGAGTTTATCCTAGCAGATATGGATATGGGTTTCCAACGTCGCAAATCGCTTACCTCAAGGAAATTAAATGAAAATTTAGTAAATTTAACACTTCAAGTTTTATTTAGATACTTAAGTTAATACTTTATTAAATTCATTACATGAATTATCATTTATAATTATTTTAAATCTTATTATATTTTTGGCGTTCTAACATAATTTAATTAGGGCGAGTATAAATCTGATTTGTCTTATTTAAACTTTGTATTCGATCTGATAAAATTCGTATTCGATCTGATACATACATATATATATATATATATATATATATATATAACTATTTTTATTTGATAAATTAAAAACCTAATTAAAAGAAAAATAAAATATAAAGAGATTAATATTATTATAACTATGTCCAAATATATAAAAGATAATTACACTATTATCTTAGGTTGGAAAAGAGTTTTTTATCATTAAATTTGAACTAACTCGATATTATTTTCTAAAAAAAATGACATGATTTGATTCGAACTCAAATTTAAAAAAAATAATCGTAAAAGATTGAACTAAGTTAAAACTCGCCAGATCCAAATTTTATATTTATCCTTAAATATGGTACAATAATAAAATATTTTGTCTTACTCTCAAAAATGATACGTGAAATAAATTTTCTTGAAAACTTTTTATACATTTAAAACCTTTTAACTTAAACTTAAATTAAAATATATTATGAGTTTTGAAAAATAAATTATAAAATATAAAAAAATAATTATATATTGTGATTATAAACATAATCATATAAATTAGACGAGCAAAAGAAAAACACAAATACGGAAACAATAAACAAAGGAATCCCATGGGCCATCATCGCCAATAAACAAAAATGGGCAATAATTAATAAATGGGCTTTAACGCACAGCCCGTTTATTGGTTATTTGCAGTTTTCCTTTGGAGTTGGAGTCCGTAATCCAAAAGAAAAGGGGAAATCGATGGGTTCGGTGAGATTTTTTTTCACCCAATTAGAGAAAAATTCAGATGCCCTTCACGATTTTCTTTTCTTTTTCCAATTGCTTCCCTTCTAACTTAAATGGGGTGAGATTTATAGCTTGGGGTTTCTTTCTCTATTCAACATATAACACAAACCCATTTTTCTGCGGGTGGGTTGGTAAACGATTTACAATCACTTCATTTGTATGAAAGATTAGGGCGGTCAAGTAGTATCGGATTTAGAAATATTTTTAGTGAATATATATATATTTTAATAACATAAATTTTTTGTATGGAATTGATACAAATAAAATTTTAAGATGTGCAGTAAAATAAATAATTAACATAAATAAATTCATATTTCATGTCCACCCTAGACAAAACCTACATCTGTCACTGCCACCAAACATGAAAAAATTCGAGAAAAGTGAGTGATTTAACCACGGACTTTTGAGTTGCACCAAAATAATATTGTGGATAGAGATTTAAATAACGATATGTCATTATAATAGCATATGATATATAATAATAATAGTGCCATCTGATAACATTATTACGTGACTGCAATACTCACAATTATCGTAATAGTGTCTACTATGTCTATAATTATGATAAACACGATCATAATCGTAACTTAAATACATAATTGTGAGTTTTGTAGGAAAAGAGAACATCAACTTTTGGTTAAAGAAAGTAAACACCAAGCTAATTTAATTTAGGATAAACTACTAGACGATAAGTTATTCTTAAATAATTATTTTGGTCATTAAATTTTTAAGAACGATAAAATGATTAAGTTGATATAGAATGATTACTGCAATATTATAATAAGCATAATAATAATTTTATAATAAATCAATAAAGTTAATTATCATTTTATAATTTTTTAAAATTTTATAATTAAAATATTTATTTTAAAATTTAAATACCTCTTATGTATTTTATCTTTTAATTTATTTGCAAGTTCGAAATAAAAGAATTTTGTCTTAGTGTAAATTCCTTTTATTTATGATTAGATTTTATCGCACTATGTCGTTGGTAAACAAAATAAATAAATAATAAAGTGGTAAAAGAATTATATTAAATATGTTAATAATTTAAAAATTAAATAAAAATGAATTTTTAAAATAAATATTTTTATTTTCGTGTGAGTTCTCTTTATTTATGATTTGATTGTTTCTTTAATTTATTTTTAAAGAACAAGTGTTATATCAACAAATCACTGGTTTAGCAACAAAATCTTGGATTTAAATTCTAATAAAATATGGACTCAAGAGAACATATCTTTTTATAAATCTTAAATTTAATCTTAGTCCTATTCAAAGGAGAGAGAAAAGGAGACTCTGGGAAAAAGAATGAAAACGTTACAATGACTCTAAAACTCATGACCTAAAAGAATATAAAAGAACAAAGATCAGCAGATTGATCAACCGATTAAACATGTTCACTCAACTCAAAAGAACGTAATTGTGCCCATTACAAGTTTTTATTAGCTCATTCAAATCAAAATACGGATAAGGAGAAAAATAAAAATTTTGCGTGAAGTAACTGTCATCTTGTCACAAACCAGTAGCGTTATTAGTTGTTCCAAAAGTTTAAAAATCCAGTTGGTGATTGAAGAAATCAGTCCAATTCCAATGACTGCAAATATAGTTTGTCTTTAATACAGTACCTACTGAAATTTCTTTGCCATGGTTTTCGTGTAAATTACCTCACATACACATTTCATATCAACCCAACAGCAAACCTCTCTTGAATGGACTAAAATTTCCCAACAACTCTGCCTAAACCTTTCTCATTTTCATCACTTTATATATATAACTTCTTTATTATTAATCTCTCTCAAAAATTAACTTCGGTAATATCCCATGGAAACCCTTCAATTGGTGTTCAGCTTAGCTGCTGCGGTATTTGCTTACTTGATCTGGTTCCATTTCCTACTCAGGAATTTAACTGGTCCACGAGTATGGCCTCTGGTCGGTAGCCTGCCGCTTCTTTTTTCTGAACCGGAGGAGAATCCATGATTGGATTGCTAGTAACCTTCGAGCCACAGGTGGTTCAGCCACTTACCAAACGTGCACCATTGCTCTTCCTTTCCTGGCTCGCAAGCAAGGGTTCTATACGGTCACTTGTCACCCCAAAAACATTGAGCACATTCTTCGGACTCGGTTCGATAATTACCCGAAGGGGCCTCATTGGCAAGCTGCGTTTCATGGTCTGTTGGGGCAAGGGATATTCAATAGTGATGGAGAGACGTGGCTCATTCAAAGGAAAACAGCTGCACTTGAGTTCACAACCAGGACACTCAGGCTAGCCATGGCTCTCTGGGTGAATAGGACCATCAAGAACCGGCTGTGGTGTATTTTGGACAAGGCAGCCAATGAGAAGGAATCCGTGGACTTGCAAGACTTGTTGCTTCGGTTAACGTTTGACAACATTTGTCGCCTTACATTCGGTAAGGATCCACAAACACTTTCTACTGCTTTGCCTGAAAATCCATTTGCTATGGCTTTCGACAATGCCACCGAAGCAACTCTGTATAGGCTTCTTTACCCTGGTTTTCTATGGAGATTGCAGAAGATTTTGGGGATTGGGAAAGAGAAAAGACTGAAGAGTTGCCTAAAAATCGTTGAAAACTACATGAACGGCGCAATTGAAGCACGGAAAGAAGCTTCATCAGATGATTTACTATCCCGTTTCATGAAGAAAAGATACGTTAACGGCAATCTCTTCACAAGCGATGTTCTCCAACGCATTGCTCTAAACTTCGTCCTTGCCGGAAGGGACACCTCTTCTGTAGCCCTCAGCTGGTTCTTCTGGCTCATCATGAACCACCCAGAGGTCGAACAAAAGATCATCAACGAAATATCAATGGTTCTCCGCGACACACGTGGTCCATATCACAATAAATGGCTCGAAGAGGCTTTGTCATTTGACGAATCTGACAGATTGGCATATCTCAAAGCAGCATTAACTGAAATGCTTCGTTTATACCCCTCCGTTCCCGAGGACTTCAAGTACGTAGTCCAAGACGACGTCTTACCCGATGGAACATTCGTGCCCACCGGCTCAACCGTAACGTATTCGATATATTCGATGGGGAGAAGATTGCATGGAGTTTAGGCTAGAAAGGTGGCTATCACCAGAGGGTGACAAATTCGAACCACCTAAGGATGGTTACAAGTTCGTTGCACCTGGACCAAGGACTTGTTTGGGGAAAGACTTAGCTTACTTGCAAATGAAGTCGGTGGCCTCCGCTGTGCTACTGCGTTACCGGCTTTCTCTGGTTCCTGGACTCGGTGGAGCAGAAGATGTCTCTCACGTTGTTTATGAAGAACGGCCTTCGAGTATACTTGCAACCCCGTGCTCTTCCATAGACATGGATCCATTAAGTTTCAGATTCTCAACTGTGGATTTGCTTTTACGGGTAATACAAGGAAAGGTAATGGAGGATCATCGTTGTTCAAGTCAGGTTCTGTGGGGGGATATAGTTTGATTTGTTTTAGTTTCGTAATCTTCATAGAATATTTGTGTGGGTGTTTAATATTTGGATAGGCATACTAATTTGTTATTCAAAACTATAATGTATTTGTTCCATATCACATCATATGGGTGAAAATATGATTATTTAATAATACTCATTCGAATGTTGGAATATAAATGTATTTAACCAAACATTCTTAATTTGTTCCGATATTACTTTCTTCTTTCATTATGCTTTCTTTTATATACTATCCACCGCTTATATTAATTTTACAAATTTTACAAATATTTATATAATTTTATTTTATTTGATCATCGCATTTATCAGTATAATTACATTATGTTGGGAAATAAACCGAGTACGAGTAATTTCCCTATAACCAAATTAGTGAGAATGCGAAATAA